AGGGGTATATTCATCTTGATGACTATCATAATTTATTGGTAGATCTAATGAAGCCATAGGTGATATAAAATCAATTGGACGAATGATTCTGTAGTCGTCAAACCCTACATAAGTTAATGGAAGGGTATCAAGGATTCCTTCTATTTCAACTATTAATATTATTAATTCTCCTTCCTTTAGAAGTTTTCTTCCTATTGCTCTTCTTAATGCCCTTTTTGTGAGTCCTATAAGTCTTTCATATACACCACCCCCCCATAGTGCTCTTGGTATAGTATTTTTCCATATCATACCCTTTGTAGCCAAAAAGTTAGCGTTTTCTTCCATAATAGTTTTGAATATCAGTTGAAATTGGCTAGCATTATCGCTTAATATTAATTTTGGATATGCACGTCGAGCGATAAATCCTCTTAAAACATGTGAAAAATTCTCGGCAGATAAATTCTCCGCCATTTCAAGATGCACCGCTCTGGTAGTGAAGCACGTAAAAAGTGCTATCCATCCAGTAAAGAACACATTATGAATCCGTCCACAAAGTAACTTGATTATTTTCAAGATTTAATTGTTTCAATACGAACTGAGCTGCTCTTACTCCAATTAGTACAGATAATAATTCAAGTCTAGGAATTGACATACCTTTAATTGGAGCAATTCGAGATTTAGCATAAATCAAAAATGAATATGTGTTTTGTTATCCATGATTGAGAATATAAATAGCTGCAGAATAAGCAACTTTCGAAGCGTCAGTAAATATATGGAATTCTGTTAATTGTGAAGTTTCCATTATAAATCTTGGCAGCTCTATTATATTTGTTGGCCATTCTTTGATGAGATTTATCCACTGTTGTTCGTCCTGTTTGTTTAAAGATTGATCCCATGGAATGTTTTCTTTCCATAAGTGTTGTATGAATAATTTAAGTTTGATCATTAGAGGAACGAGAAGACCCAATGGATCGTATTGGGAGGCTATGAATTGTAGGATAGTCCTCTTTGTTAAACTTTTTCCTATCCGTGGTTTCAGTGTCACACGGATAATATCTCGTTCATGGTTCCATTTAAAACCAAGAAAATTTTCCTGGTTTGTTTGGCTTAGGTCGCATTCAGCTATTCTTTCATTAAATTCTTCGTCATTTGAAAGAAATTCGCTTATGTTCATAGATGCTTCACCAAAAATTTCTTTCGTTCTTTCATATTAATATAATATAAGGCCTCTTCTGTTCCATTAGCTGATATAATAACGTTGTCTACGTATAAGTTCTTTCTTATCTCCCATGCCAATTCACTACCATGATTTTCTAGGTGGTAATTTAATGTTGCTGCTGCTAACAAGAAGGGTGAGGATATTATTCCAAAAGGAACTCTCTTAAATCGGTAACATTTTATATTTTCATTGGTTAGTTCTTTATCAATATCATCCAACCAAAGAAAACGTGTACAATTTCTTTCCTCATTTTGTAGTCCTAGTTGTTAAAATGCCTTTTCGATATCAGCGGTTATTATTATTTTCATCATCCGAAAACGTAATATTACTCCAACTAAATCGGGTAACATTACTAGACCTCGATATAGTACTTCATTTAAGCTTTTAAAACCTTTGTGATGTGCTGAAGCATCATATACTATTCTTAATTTAGTTGTTGATTTACTGGGAGTTAATACTTCATGATGTGGTAAGTAATGAATAACGCCTACCTCATCCTTTGGAGGTACTTCTTCAATTATATCTGAATGTAGTTGATCCATAAGTATTTGATGATATGAATGGAGATTTGAATTATGTTGTAGGCGTTTGATCAAATTCTTCAATCGTCCCAGACATAATCCATAATTATTGCTTAATTTTTGTTTGGAGTCTTTCCATGGCCGACAAACCTGATATCTTCCACCCTGCTTGATGATGGTCCGTTTGAAATGCTTTAAAGCTTGATCATCATCATCATCTTGAGGTGATTCTTGGATACCAATCGTCTCTAATTTCCAAAATTTTTCTAGCTCCGTGCTAATATTGACGTTTGTAGAATATACTACCTCTTTAGGATATAATTCGTTCTTGCAAAGTTTCTTAATATCTCCACTTCCAGCAATCATTGGACCAACTTTTGATTGAACCAACATATGCCCTGATTTCAATTCCCTAATTTCTCGTAGACTAATAAATTTGAAAAAATAGTCAGCTCCAATCAATACGTCAGGTTTTTTCCAATAATTTATCAAATTTTGAATTTGAAATTCATTCGATGTCTCCACTACCTGCAGTTCGTTTGTTAGATAATCAATTATATTTGCTTGTAGTTGTATGATTTCGCTTTCGGTAGTTAGCACATTTAGTTGTATGCGAGCAGTGGGACATGATTTCGGTTCTTTCATACCAAATGGAGCTATTCTCATAATTTGAGTTTCTGTTTCGGTTAAGTTTAATTGACGTGATAATTTTTTGGAGATGAAGGAGAGTTGCGATCCAATATCAAATAATGTAGGGGCATTTTGTTGTAGTTGAGGTTGTGATGGATTAAAAACCTTTATCTCCTTACATAAAAGTAAAGTTTCCTTTGTCTGTTTGGATCGAGTTGTTAATGTCGAGTTGTAGAGGGAAGTTGAACAATCCTTTCGTCTCGAAGGTTCAATTCTTTCTTGCTCTTCATTTCTTTGAGACATTGTATTGTTTAAAGAAAGTGAATTCCTTTTATTACATAAAGCACTATTATGTGAGCTTTTGCAATAAAAACATTGTTTTTTGACACTACAATTCTGTCCTTTGTGACTGTCTCTAAGACAAATAGTACATTTCTTCAATACTTTGAGACGACTAAGTCGAGCATTGAGAGTCGTGTAGTTCACGCAATCGCTGTCCCAATGATCTTGATTGCAGAATACACATGGTCGTCTTTTCGTTGTTGTAGTTTTTGAAGTATTTTGATTATCCTTTATTGTCGACAGTGCTGAAGTTCCTCCGGGATTGTATCGTTGTTTTTGTTCCTGTTTGGTAGTTGTAGATTTAATATTGAGTTGAGTGAGTGAATGTTGACAGTTTCTAATCTGTTCATTCACATTAACTAAACTTGTTAAAAAGTTTCTTAGTTTGAGAATTGACCAAGGCATGTCCTTCTTCTTATGTTTATATATTTTATTTAATATCCATAATGGCAATTTGCTCTCGATCAAGATTTCAATATTTGAATGCTCAAGGCTTTCTCCTATAACTTCTAACTGGCGCAGTACTCGTTCAATATTTTCAATTGTTCCAATCCATTCTCTTTCATTTCGTTTAATTGATTGGAGTTCGTTTTATAGTAATGTTGTTACTATTGAGTGATCGCTATATTTTTCATTGAGCAGTTTTCTGATGACTTCATAATTCTCTGGAGCTATATCATATCCAGATATTGCTTGTAGAGCCTTTCCTTTAAGACATGAGTACAAGTAATTCAATTTTTGTATTAATGGAATCGCTTGTGTGTGGACTGCTGCGTTAAAACTGCTCCAAAATTGTCGCCATTGTCTAGGGTCTCCATCGAAAGTAGGGAGCGATAAATGAGGAAGATTTACATTAATATTTGAAGAAGGAGTAAATTTTGCTTCTTCTTTTGTTTGTTTGTTCGTCAACTCCTTTGAGAGTTGTTTTAAGTTTTGGTCGACTTCATCCTTGTGCATTGTCAGTGTTATTACAGCTTTCTTTCCTTCGTGTAATAATTGAAATATTCCTTGGTCACCTTCTGTTACTGTTTTGTATTTTTCTTCCTCTTCTTCTCTTCTTTTCATCGTGACGATTTGTTGAATATATGTGAACCATTTATCGTTGATAGATTCAAGCGTAGTTACGCATAATTGGATTCTTCGAAGTTTATCTTCTAACACTCTTTTTCTTATAACATAAAAATCTTCTTTTTCTTCTATTGTCATACTTGGATCTGGAAATTTGATCTCCAGTTGATTTACTTCTTTAAGAAAACTGACTAACCTTTCCTTTGCCGGTTGAAAGCTCGCGATAATGTGGCTTGACATGTTCCCGGCTCGTGGCACCAAAAATTATTTTTGTCGTGAAAGGTTGTCTGTTGGTGGATATTCGAATTGTTGCAATATAGTAGGAAGATTAATAAACCTCAAACTTGGGTAATTAAACCTTTATTTAACATGAGGCAAATAATAGCGCTTTATACATATCGTACGGATGCTACACCGATTAACAAACACGTAAACTATATAAAATGCAATAATATAAAAATGGTGAAATAATACGAAATTATAAAGTATTAGACGCATGCTAATATCACCCAAAACATAGAGCGAATGATGGTTATAGAAGGATTGGTTAGTTTATATATAAGACTGATTTAATGAATGGAAATTAGATGGAAGAATTTCTATGGATGAAAAAACAAGATTGTTAACAATGTAATGATTTCCCTAAACAGTTTTGCAGGTGTTAATTATTTTTATCACATCTTATCGCTATTTAACAAGATTAGTTTTATTGTATGAAAGGAAGAAATAGATTAATATGAGTCATAGCTGAATTACAAATGCAAAAATATTCGGAAATTGAATCATCAGGTGTGAGATGAATTTTGTAAATGTAAAATAGATTTAGGAATTAGATAAGAGGAATTTGTTAGTTTTGGATATAATAATTTAAATATTTTGTCTTTCACGACAGTTAGAAGTTTTTCGCGAAATTATAATTCGCGACATGGATCGAGAAAAGACAACGATATTGCACACATAACCACTGCATGAATCATAATCCATAATAGTGGTGTCTTCAACATACCTAACATACCTTTACCGTCCATTACTTTGACCATTCAATGAAATATGATGGCTCTATCTAATCTATTATGGAATACATTCATTCAATTTTAATTTATTTAACTAACAAATATCATCAACAAAAATGATAATTTGATTTCATTAATAAATTTTAATTGAATGATAGCAAAAAAAATAAATTACACCATCCATATTTTCGACCAAAAATTCGCTAGTAATCCAAGAAAGAATAAAATATGAATCCTTCATCGTTACATAGAAAGGGACAAGAAGCAAGAAGGATTCTTCAGGATGCAAGGGATAACATTCGTAGTGCTATTGGCGTTCCAAGTAATAAAGAAATAGTTTTTACGTCTGGTGCAACTGAAGCAAATAGTCTTGTTATGAAAGGGATAGCAGGCTTTCAACATGTGATTTCAGCTGTAGAACATCCCTCAATTCTTAATTCTGCGTGCAATCCACATATAATACCCGTCAATCAGGGGGGTATTGTCGATCTTTTGGCGCTAGAAAGAATTTTAAGTGAACTTAAAGGGAATAGAGTAATAGTTTCGGTTATGATGGCCAACAACGAGACTGGAGTTGTTCAGCCTGTTAAAGAAATAGCTGAAATAGCACATAAATTCGAGACAATCTATCATACTGATGCTGCTCAAAGTGTTGGAAAAATTAAGGTTAATATGGAAGATTTAGGAATGGATTTACTAACTTTATCTGCCCACAAATTTGGCGGTATAGCGGGCAGCGGAGTTTTAATATTTAATAAAGACCTAGTAATAGAACCTATCATAGTAGGTGGTGGACAAGAAAAAGGATTGCGTGGTGGCACAGAAAATATTGTTGCAATTGCAGGTCTTTCTGCTGCATTGCAAAGTATCTCAAATCTCCTATCAAAAATGGATGAAATAAAGGAGCTACGTGATCAATTGGAGTATGAGTTATTGAATCTTGCCAGTGGCATCAAAATCTTTGGCAAAAACTCTAAAAGACTGCCAAATACGAGCCTTATTTACATGCCAGGAGTGAAAAGTGATGTGCAGCTCATGAATTTTGACTTAAATAACATTGCTGTTAGCAATGGCTCTGCCTGTTCTTCTGGAAAAGTTGAGCCTTCCCATGTTTTGCTTGCAATGGGGGCAACAAGAGAACAAGCAGAGTGTTCAATTAGAGTTAGTATAGGTCCGCAAACCAAGCCACGAGACATAAGAAAAATAGTGGATTGTTGGTATTTACGAAAAGAATATCTTGGATATGCGCAAGTAGTTGACTGGCATAAAAACTACTTGATAGCCTCGTCAGCCCCATAGCACTAGAAGGTACTCAGTTATCTTCAATCTGTGCAGATTGAATGACGAAATATCACGTAGTTGGCACTTTATGTTTAATTTTTTGCACTATATGCATCTTATGTCTTCACACAACATCCCTAGGTTTTTACCTATATATATAAGTTGAAACTCACTTATAAAGTGTTTAAGACTCAAAAAACGTCAATACAGAAAATAGATAGTGACTAGGTAATCTAGATGACTACTTAATATTTATAGCTACCGTCATTTTGCTGCTTGTTAGCAGCTGAGAGATACCGCAGTTCTCACGATATATGAAATAGGGGCTGCCGATACCTCAGTGTGTGACATTGGCTTCTCATACTGGAAAACCATGGGATGGTAGAAAATATTAAATTTATTTACTATATATGAAAAGTTATTATATTTGTATACTTGCAAGTAAACACAATAGAGCTCTATATATTAGATCTAACACTCGTGCATTATCAGTAATCAGAAACTTCTTCAAGTATATAAAAATACAATTATGAAGTAAACAATGAGGCTGTATTTTCCCTGTCAAGGCCAATTCAAAGAAGAACTTTGCCTAAAGCATTATCAATATCTGATATAAAAACTTTAGTAGATTTCTTCTTGCATAACTATTCTTTACAAGAAACTCACTCCTCTTTGTCATTCCAGTATGCGACCAAAAAAAAGGAACCGGTGCTAAGCACACAACTGTACAAACATTGCAATTTCAGCTTGCCAGGATTCCAGTGCTAAAGCTTAAAAAGAAAGAAAATTAGAAAATATTTCCGTACTTATCGTTAAACTTAGCTATTTTGCTAGTTTTATTTGTTGACCCACTTGTCAAACTTCCAGTCCATGCAGGGTGAGTGAGAGGATCTCTATCAAGCTTTATCTTATCTCCCTCCTTTTTTTCGAAATTCTACATTTTCGAAATTTAAATTAGAAATCGAAAGTTTTCTCAAAGCTGAAATATGCGTGTATCTAAATACACTAGAGCTACAATTGATCCAGAAAAATTCGACAATCAGAATAAATTTAAGAAACTTTGCTCCTATTTACTAATATGTTAATTTGACGATAAAACTAAGATTGATAAAGTCCATTCAAATCTTTGATTGAAATGATAATTTACCATAATGTATCAATCGATATTTGAAAAGTCAGAATATACAAAGCACTAGTAGCAAGACCAAATATACCTAATGCAACTTCTATCCATCCTAAGTTCCTGCAAGACATGAAATTGTGCTAATATGAAATAAGCGAAATCTTTCGAAAGAAAAAAAAGATTTTATGATATACAGCATTTTCCTCAGTTCTCAGAATTATCAAATAAAAGATATCCGAGTTAGCTTGTAATAATGACAAAATGACGTAGAAAGATATTTATTATTTGTAAATAAAATAATTACTAAATGAATATAGCAGCAATAATTTGAATAAATCGTTATTTCATGCATTATATTAGTCTTAAAATCAGAGATCTAATAGAACTGTGGTCTAATTGACTATTTGCTCTGCCCATTTTTCGAACTTCAAGAAAATACATTATTTATAGTCTACACTTACTTCTCGGTATTCAGAAAAGGTGATGGACTAATGATTATCATACTAATCACTACTGCTATAATACCGAACATTATAATTGTCTTGCTGCAGTTAAATTTATCGATAATTATGCTCCAGAAAGGTGCTGTTATCGTATAAATTTCATCAGATAGTAAGAACATTAAGCCAATAATGGATGGCTAAGTTTGACTGTAAAATAAGTTTGGCTATCCGTTGACTATTTGAAAAGAAAGTGAAGCATCAGTTTTGCAAGTTTATACGGTTCTACTGAAAGACATACATGTATTAGACTGATCTATGATGAATTCTTTTTTGAGGTCATTTTAAATTTTATGAGAGATCAGTAAAAACGGAAAAATTATCTGCTTGAAAAAATATGACAGACAATTAGAAGAACTGAGATATTACAAAGGAAAGTAATGAATCTGTATTTGTCTTTCAACAATGCTGAAGAAATGGCCAAAAGACACACAGATGTTTAGTGATCTGCTAAGGCTGGATTGTCGTGAAAGGTTGTCTGTTGGTGGATATTCGAATTGTTGCAATATAGTAGGAAGATTAATAAACCTCAAACTTGGGTAATTAAACCTTTATTTAACATGAGGCAAATAATAGCGCTTTATACATATCGTACGGATGCTACACCGATTAACAAACACGTAAACTATATAAAATGCAATAATATAAAAATGGTGAAATAATACGAAATTATAAAGTATTAGACGCATGCTAATATCACCCAAAACATAGAGCGAATGATGGTTATAGAAGGATTGGTTAGTTTATATATAAGACTGATTTAATGAATGGAAATTAGATGGAAGAATTTCTATGGATGAAAAAACAAGATTGTTAACAATGTAATGATTTCCCTAAACAGTTTTGCAGGTGTTAATTATTTTTATCACATCTTATCGCTATTTAACAAGATTAGTTTTATTGTATGAAAGGAAGAAATAGATTAATATGAGTCATAGCTGAATTACAAATGCAAAAATATTCGGAAATTGAATCATCAGGTGTGAGATGAATTTTGTAAATGTAAAATAGATTTAGGAATTAGATAAGAGGAATTTGTTAGTTTTGGATATAATAATTTAAATATTTTGTCTTTCACGACAGTTAGAAGTTTTTCGCGAAATTATAATTCGCGACATGGATCGAGAAAAGACAACGATATTGCACACATAACCACTGCATGAATCATAATCCATAATAGTGGTGTCTTCAACATACCTAACATACCTTTACCGTCCATTACTTTGACCATTCAATGAAATATGATGGCTCTATCTAATCTATTATGGAATACATTCATTCAATTTTAATTTATTTAACTAACAAATATCATCAACAAAAATGATAATTTGATTTCATTAATAAATTTTAATTGAATGATAGCAAAAAAAATAAATTACACCATCCATATTTTCGACCAAAAAATTCGCTAGTAATCCAAGAAAGAATAAAATAATTCCTTATGAGAAATTTCTATCACACTGTTGTTAAAGAGCGGTTAAATCTATGAATTTTTATTCTCTAAGTAAAGTTTGAAATTTAATTTTTTAGTTTTCAAATGTAAATTACATGTAGTTTCGTTACATTTTTAGGTATCCAGAATGAATGAGCTATATAATTATTCATCAGTTTTCTTTCTCTTAGGTATGAAATATGAAGCTGTACATCCAATAACCATTTGTTACATATGAAAGTCGTCTTAGCCCTAACCGACGTTGCTTTGTGTTTATACATGAAACAATGGCTCATGAACCGCCAGTTGTTGTTTATGCATTTATGAAAAAAATTGCCAAAAATCTTGACGTTAGTTGGATTTTCTGTTAAAGTATAGTCTTCAAGTTAAATTTGCTAAATGGAATTATCATTTTACATATTTTGTCGTTTATTAGTTAACATTCTTCAGAAATCTTCAGGATCAGTATTGATGGATATGACCACATTCAGATGACAATATCTTTCAGAATTCGCATGTGAATTTCTTAGTAGTATTTAAAGGAAATTGTGGAACTGTTTCCTTATAGTTTTCTTACATTTCTTACATTTGACAGTGATAGTGATAGAAATGGCCACGCAATAGATAACTTATTGAAAGCAAATATATAGTTTGCTATAGATCATTTATTCTATAACAAAATTTAATTCTGTCAACTTTCAGGATATAATGAATGACGCCGATATACTTGAGGATTCCATACCATCAACACAAACAGGTTTTGCTATCTTCATATCATTTCAATGCACTTAATATTAGTTTTTTAATTAGAGTAATATCTTTAAAACTGAATATTACACTTTTATGGTAAGATGTTGGCAAATGTTTTGTGTTTTGGCTTTTTTTCAATTCAAGACTACTTATTTAATAACTTCTGTGCCAACTGCTTCATGTCTCATTTCAATGGCGGTAACACTGACTTTTTCAGAAGAGATGGAAGGACGTTGTTGTTCATCTCAGAAGTATCTGGGATTTCAAAACATAGAATTTTAGTTATTAATATCCGCAATTCGTGTTCCTTGTTTGTTTTAAATCAGCTATAATAATTATAGGGTTATTTAGTATCGATCTGGGTAATATGTGGGTAATATGTTGATAAAGTGGGTAATTACAGAGATTTCAAAACCAACTCGCACATACGCGTATTACAATTTTACCACCTATGCCTTATTTTCGTAACTAGTTTTTACAATCCCTTAAATGTGCAGCACTATCTGTAAAACGTTTCTTTATCGTGAGGTTAAGAAACGTGAGGTTGAAAATAAAAGTATTGCAAGAATAATTAATGTCAAATACTTCCTAATATAATCGGGAAAGTTAAAGTGATGACTTTCTTCATATCATTTAGTTTAGTGATACCTCATGTATTTCTTTGAATGGTCATGAAGTTTTATGATTTAAATCGTATCGATTTGGATTTTTCAATGAAATCGGATATTATTGGATGTGTTCCACGATAGTAGTATAGAAACCAAATTCTTGCTTCAGCGGCATAGTGGTTTAATATGACATGTGGCGAACATATTGAAGAAAAGAAAACAGAATAAAAAAAGAATTGGTGAAAAATTATTGGCTGTGTGTGAGAAAAATGAATTCTTTGAAAGCGATATTAGAATAGTCGAGTCGTATGATTGTTTTTATTGGATCATTTGAACAAAATGTTAACAAGTAAGTTATGCAGTGGTGTTTTTGCAAATAATTGAAAGCAATGTCTTAAACGGAAAATATAGCTCGAGCTAGATGAATAAGGCCTTAATTTGCCTCAATCTTTTATCTTTCTGTTATTGAGATGATATTTGATGGAGTTGTTAACCAATACAGGCTTCTTAAATTTGATGAAAATGAAATTTTGTTGCTTTGCAGAGAGAATTAGTCATATTTTTCCTTCCTAATATGGTATACGAGAATATTCCTTTTCAGTAAA